GATAGTCAAATAACAAAAAAAAAAACACACACACAAAATAAAGCAAAAATACAAAAATATTTAGCTTTAAGAGGGTTAGGCCTACCCTAAAATTAAGGAACGCTCAACCTCGACACGTGATATCGAAATGGGCTAAATCGCCTCTTCATATCATAACTATCCTGAAATAGGCAAGTAGTAAGTTTCTCATTAAGGGGAAATATAAAATAGGCTATGAGGGCTTTGTGTACCTGGTAAAATTTGTGTCTGATGTTTTCTACAGATCAATAAATTTAGGCAACTGCTGAAATGAAGAACCAATTTTTTTTTTTTGGTGTTGCCTAACATGCTGGACCCCTTGCATATATCAGTGATGGATTCTAAGAACTTAATAGTACTACTGCTTTCAAGAGCAGAATTGGGGTAAACTGGACTAGTAGCTTTAAAAATAATTTAGTTGAAATACATATGAAATCTGTAGTAATGGGGTGAGTTTCCCATTGCATCTCCAAGGCTTACTTAGTTGAGTTCTGTCCCCATACAATTTTTTAGAACATGGAAGAGGAGCTGAAGAAGTTGTTCAAACAGTGAGTCAGACGAAGAGGAAGATATTCCGAGTGAGCATCAGTTCTTTGTATGACGGAGAAGCCACAGCCTGCTTGATGCAGATGGCTCCTCTTGATGATTTTGAAGACATCGTGCTCACTACAGGCCATATTTTCCCATTTTTTTCGCTATCTCCACTCAGGGCGTCATTTCTCATGTCCACCTAATCTCCCTCAGTGAATCTATAGTCCATTGTATGTAATGTAGGTTCTGACACCCCTTTAGTTAGTGACACTGGGTGAAGTCAGTGTCATTTGTTGATGCAATTCTTCATCTACTTCTTGCCAATGATATAAATGTGATGCAATTCTTCATCTACTTCTTGCCAATGATATAAATGTGATGCAATGAATACGGTTGTCTAATGATTGCGTTTATCTTTTTTTAGCACCTCTGGTAGTCTTAAGTCTTGGAAGTTGAATTCTCAGAAATCACTTTACTGCAATTTCAACCCCCTGGAGAAAAGTTAGCTTTAATAATAGAAAAATGTACCCATGACAGTGGAAACACTAATCAGCAAACTAGTTTTAGATTTAGAGGCATCTTTTGCTTTCATGAAGTTCTTTTCCTCCATTTTGGAAAAGTTTTGTCTCGTGTCAGTCATCAGTTGAGGAAAGATGAAAGAGAGTCTGTGTCACTCTGACAATTTATTGATCGGCTTATATGAAAGTAGACTTGTATTGGTTTGTCTAGAGATCAAGTCAAGATGAAATGATGGTTTTGTTCACCTCCAAAAACATCAAATTTCAAGTTTCATAGCAAGTTAACAACTCATAATCATTTGTGGGGTTAAGGACTGATGATGAGATGATTTACTTGCATTTGTATGCATTGGGTCTATGACATCCATGTACCCTTCCAGTATGCTTAAGTAGGGTTATTGCAGCAATATTTTTTTTTTAATGGGTGTAATAGTCATTCCTCTGAGTCCAATCAGTCCTCTGAGCTGTCACAGAATAGGAAACGTAACAATTGGAAGTCATGGCTATGATTAAATGGCTGAAGAGACCACATAACTCTCCATGAGAAATTTGTCATCTCATATGTGATGGTATTGTGAGCAATAAAGGGCACTTCCAGAACTTGCAAACTAAGTTGTATTTTTGTTGCAAAATATGACATGGGGATGGTGACAGAGACTTGCATATCTTTGAAAATGGTGATGAGTTTGTTGAAGGACAAATATGAAGACTCGAAGGTTTGGATCTTCCACTTCTTCCCTTGGGTGGCATTTGCCTTATGAAAGATTCGAAGCCTTCACATTTTTCACCATCACTTCACCACTGATGTTGCTATTATTTATGGCTTTCAGAAAGTAGGTTTGGTTTGGTATTGTATTGCCATCCATTTTTTTCTATGTTTTTGTGGAATTTTTTCAGTGGGGCTACAAAGGAGGTACCCATTTTGTGCTGGAGTGCAAAGGGTTGAGGTGCTTGGGATCTGCCTACCTGCAGGTGAATGCATGGACCTATAATTGTCTGATAAGCATCCAGTTCAGAATGCTGTAGTGATTAATTTGCAAGGGCAACAGGAATGCATCATCTTCAAACTCTCATCAGGTTGCCTTTGTTGTTTTATGACTCATGGTAGTTACTTTTTGCCAGAGAATGATTCATGAGAGGAGCTCATAGGCAGATATGGTGAACATGACGGAAGAAATGAGGAAAACCTCTCGAGACACCCTGACCCTCATCCAGCAGTGTCTGTCAAACAAAGTTTTTGCATAATATTTATGCATATGTTGACTTACCTTGCCAGTCATCTGCCACTTGACCCAAAAATTGGATCTGTATTTAACATGGGTTTTTCACTGTGATTTTAGTAGCTATGAGAGAAATAGATTAAACCTGAAGGGAGGATTCCATCAGCATTATAAAATCAACTTGAGCCTGACTCTTGGGGCTCTCTCCTTCTTGGTTTGCTTTTGCATTTATTCATTCCAGGTGGGATTCATTCCCTTGTGATATGGAAATACAGTCATTTTTTGCCATCCATCCATGTTTTCACTCCTGTGTTTGAATGCATTGCAGTCTAGGCAGAGCATTTGGTCAGACACAATGTGTCATGACTGACTGCTTGGATGGTCCACTTGCCTATGGTCTTGCACAAAAGATTCTGGGAAGGGTGGGGATGTTCAATGATGGCTTTAGTATGAATGTTGGTTGAAGGTATAAATCACATCTCATTTGTATTTGCTGCAGGCCCTGTTTGCTTGCTGCTTTTACAAAGTTGAGCATTTTGCTATTTAATGCTTAACAAAGGAATTATATCAACTCATCTTTGATATGCAAAGTTTAGTTTGTTGCAAATCTTCCTAATGCAATTTGTCTCAGAACAACTTTGGGCATAAACTGTATTCTTCTTTGCCTTACATTTGTGCTGATGCCATGCAAGTACCACAGAAGGTAGATTGTACCTGCATCCTCTATGATTGCCAGCTCCACTAGGTATTGAGTAAACCTATTTGTTGTTAGTGGGCTACCTTTTTTTTTCTCTCACTCTTTCTTTTTCTCTCTTTCTCTCTCTTTCTCTCTTTCTCTCTCTCTCTCTCTCTCTCTCTTTTTCTCTCTCTCTTTCTCTTTCTTTCTCTCTCTTTCTTTCTCTCTCTCTTTCTTTCTCTCTCTCTTTGTAACCACAAAGTGTTCATATATCCAGCCGACAAAAGCCCATCAACTTTCATTTGTCCTCTAAAAGGGAACACAAATGGACTGTAGCATTTGTGTCATGTGTCTGTTGTGTGTTTCCCTCATACTATTAGGATATAATAAATTTGGAATGTACCTTTTCTTGGCAACACATGCTAGATGCTCGCTTGGTTTAGGAAATCACATGATGTCTCCCACTTTTTGCTAATTTACATTGTGATTTCTTGGTCATCCTTGATGAAGATAAATCAAAATCCTTCATCATGAGAAAGGCTATGGGTAAAAAAAATTATTTGAGTTCAATAAGCATGCAAACCCTTGAAAATAGACCAATGATATAGATGCTAGGGTTCTTTCCTGGAACACTTTGAATTAAGTGCTGTTCATTATTATCATTGGAAACAGTTCATATTGGCTTAATATTTTTTCAAATGTCTTGCATCTTCATTCCTGGAGTTTGCAGCATGATGGAATGCTATATTTTGCTTATTAATTGCTTCTTGACAGATTGAATTAGATTAAATGAATTAAAAGGAATAGGAAAGAGCTTTACTATATCAGGTGTGTTGGAAGTGTTGCTTTAAATTTTCTTGGAAATGGCTAGGAGGTAGGAACAGTTAAATTTTTTTTTGAGCCACCCTGTAGTCGGTTGCAAAGGGTGATCAGAGGTAGAAAGTGTACACATTCATGGTCCTTTTTGATGGTTTTGTGTAACTTTCTCTTTTTATAGTGAAGTTTTATAGTGACCAGGCAGTGAAAATGAGTAGCAAATCAGCTGAGACCATTTATGAGTTCAAAGCCAATGACATTGATGGCAAGATGGTCTCACTTGACAAGTACAGGTAAACACATTGCCTATCCAGACTGCTCTGTTTTGTGCTCCATATAGGATCAAAGTTGATGGATTTGTATATCTGTCTCCAGGGGCCACGTGTGCATCATTGTCAATGTGGCATCCAAGTGAGGCAAGACCCATGCGAATTACACGCAGCTGGTAGAACTCTACAAGAAGTACTCTACTAGCTTCGGTCTTCGCATTCTTGCCTTCCCTTGTAATCAGTTTAGTAGCCAGGTGAATCTCACAGCTCCTCTTCTCTTGCAAATCGTTCATTTGGTTTTTAACGTAGAAAATTTTTCTGCTAGGAACCGGGAACCAACGCTGAGATCAAAGAGTTTGCCGCCAAGTACGGAGTGGAGTTTGATATGTTTGAGAAGATCAAGGTCAATGGGGATGATGCCCATGAGCTGTGGAAGTACCTGAAAAAGAAGCAAGGTGGCCTGCTTGGCAGGTGAGCCAAGAAACAAAAAATTTTTTACTGAATGAATTTTGTATCAAGGAATGGTGTTAGCAAAGAACAAATGTAATAATACATAAAGCAGAAAGATATTTGGGCTGAAATTGATATTAGTTTTCGACAATAGAGCAATAAACAGAAGTTGGTAATGGACAGAACCTTAACATCTTAACTTAAGACTTTAATCCATCTTTGCATTCAATACATTTTGCAGTCTGAATGACTGTAACTTAATTTTGCTAGCTTTAGGAACTTCTTGAATCAGTCTTGGGTCTGTCCATGCCAAGTGGTCCTCGGATTTTAGCCAGAAATTTTCAAAAATATGCTAATATAACTTTCACTGAGGAAGTTCATCATCTCTTTTCCCAGATTACATGAAGGAAAGTGAATATTACATTGAAAAATGAAAGAATTAGTCATGATTATGATATGTTATTCATACCACTCTCATGGTATTCAAAAATGTGATGAAAATGCAAATCTGGAGTGACTGAATTGGACTACTGGAACAGATGCCAGCATGGGCTTTCAAGACATACTGATAACTTCAAATCGGCTCAGGTGTGAAGAGTAGATGTCAATTGTTCACATTTGAATGATATAGTAAAAATAAAATTAAGAAATATGTACAGACTTCTCATTTCAAAACTCATTTTCAGAACATGTAATATCCGAGGCTCTCCTGTCATCCGACACCGACAAAAGAAAGGGCTTACTTTCTGTTATAAGTGTCATAATCTTGGGGTGACTTAAACTTATTCCAGGCTTTCATTCAGCTATAGATTGAACCTGAAAATACATTATTAGGGTCCACTCAATGACAGATATGTGAACATTAGAGCAAGTGACTAACTTGAGGGTTCACGAAATGTCACGTCTGACACTTTTCTTTCCACATGGGTACACCTCTAACAAAAGAGAGAGTGCAAGACTTTGGATTATGGAATTTTCAATCACTACCCAAAGAAATTATTGCAGCCTTCATATGCTGATTCATCATCCATAATATAGTTAAATACATTTTGTATATTATACATATTACTCCGAATGTCACGTCCGACACTGTGGTGACCCTCTTATATTACAATTAACTTTAATATAAAACTGATCAATATTTCTTGAGACAGTATTTCATCTAGCCAATATTCCAGGGATTGATTGAACATAGGACTCCTTCATTTCCAGTACTAGTGGCTTCAAATAACAAGCTGCCAGAGAATGAGAAACGTGGAGATGTGGTTACAGTTTTTTCTGTTGTTTTCTTCTGTTTCTTTCTCTCACCCTCTATTCCCTCTTCTCTGGGTTGTAAGAGTGGCCCAAAAGTAATTTGACCGAAACTAATGTTTGCAGTCAGTGTAATCTGCACAATAAACCTTTGGAAAATAAAATATACATTCAAATTAATAACTTTCTGCTTCTATGCATTTCAGGAATCACTCTGGAGTTGGATTAGCAGGTAGCTGATTATTAGTCGATGTCTGTGTTTGTGTTGATGTTTGAGTTTTCCACCACAGTTGACCCCTAAAAATGAACTGTTCTAAGATAATGTGCCTTTACTCAGCACATATTCAATCTGCTAGGGCAAAAAGGGATAGGGTAACTTTTGCCCCATCCTGTAGGATGAGAAACTTTAGGATCGTCTCTGACATTGGAAGAAAACAGAATGCATTACAGGCCATTCCTCTTGTCATCACAAGGATGTGGTCTTTCTTCTGAAGAAAGATTTATGATATTCTAAATAATGACTGAAAAAATGGGATCATCCTAGGTTTAGTGTAAGCATCAGCATTGGAGTACTACTTGATAATAAGGTGTGCTTGATCTTCATTATAATCATAATAGACTGTCAGGTGAAAATCTGTCTCCCATGGTGCCCAATCATGTAATTTGGCCCCTGTTACAATGGCCAATCTTGGGAAATTAAAGGGGTTGTTGATGTAATTGATCTGGAAGGTCAAGAGCCCTTTAATACCTCTTTCTGTTGCACTATAGTCATTCGTATTAGCTTCTTTGTCACAGGAATATCAGTGATTCTGCTGCTGCCATTTGCTTTTTCTTCGTTCAAGTGTCGCATGTGACCACTTATTCCATGTGCAACTCTAATTCTTTCTGCATTACCTGTTGACCCTTCTTCCACTGAGCCCATCAGTTGCCTTTGCCTTGTTCCAGTGCCCCTATCATCATCATCATCAGTGCCTGTGGGGACTTGAGAGTCATGCGTCATGCTACATTAAGTTTTAATGTGATTTTAAGGTTATACTAGTAGAAGACAAGGTTTGAACATAAAGAGCTGAAAGCAGTCTAACAAGTTCATTGTGGGGTCAAAAGGAAAAATTGGTATAAGTGAAGTAATTTATTGAAATCCACTATAATTTCATGCTGAACCATTTCTGGCAGCTGTTGTATAATGGTCCTACACTGTTGAATCAGGAAATATTTTATTTCTGACTTCTTAGCTTCTTGCAGCAATAAAATACTTTGGAGCTGTATTTGGGTAAGTGAGATTAGCATAGTGAGCTATAATTCTTTATGAGCTTACTATGTTGATATTCATGCCTGAAAGTAAGAGGAATCAAGGGCCTTTATTTCATTGCATTCCAAGTAGGGGTTAACCCATAACAGGGCAAGTTTCACATCTTTGCATTAGCCACAAGGTCTTTGGGTATGGTAATGACTTTTGGCTTTCATCCATTGTCACCAAGAAATAACTAGAAAAAGTACAATGCCAGGTACTGACTTAATGGGATGTATGCATGAATTAAATTGAATTTGAATGTATTCATTTTAACAAGGGCTTCTATGGAATTCGCATCAGTTTGGTTGGGTTCCCAGAGAAGCCTGTGTTCAAATGAATGCATTCAATTCGATTTTTTTCATGAATCCCACCCCATAGTCATAGGACATGATTCTCATTTCCTCACAACACCATCCACTGCAGGGTTGTCTTCCTTCATCCGAGGTTCCTGCATTGATCTTATGAAATCTTGAGATATGCCATGCAGTATTTCTCTCAATAGGATTTCATGTCCTAACAGTAGGCTCAAGCAGATTTGTTGGTGATTACTTCACTTTGAAATCCTTTTAGAAACATTAAAACTGGCCTGCTTTTGTACCAAATATTATTTTCAGCCCTATGTGTATTAATGTATATGTATATGTTTACATACTTTTTTTTTTTCTGTCCTTTCCTGCCAAGAAGCTTGAATCATGAATCATGATCAAAGAATGAACTGACCTGCTGTCTCTTCTTCTTCAGCTTTATCAAGTGGAACTTCACCAAGTTTGTTATTAACAAGAATGGCATACCAGTCAGCAGGCATGGCCCTAATGTGGATCCTCTGGTGAGCTTCAGTCCTGTTAGATATGACAAACTACTGGTCAGTGTGAGTCCATACTATTGCAACGTGACAAAAGGAGTTTAACTAGTAGAATCCCAAGGTGCTGACATGTCTGCTCTTCATTATGGGATACATTTCTGTTTGGGAGCAAAAGGGTTAAGAAAGTAAGTGATAGCTAAGGAGGCCTAATGGACAGACAGATTGTAGAAGTCTTATCAGAGGCCCAATCCTACCAAACAACTTTTAGTGCAACAAGACCCCTTTTAACCTCCACACCAGGGATTTGGACTTTTCACCATTGAAGAAGATAGTTTCTGCTGCTACAGCAGCAGAGGAAAGCTTCCACAGCTTATGTCCATCACACAACCACCACTACACCACAATCTAGACAAGGTTCACTCATTTTTTTGGAGGTTCCAGTTGCAGAGTGTTCCATGCTAGTCGATGTGATGCTTAACCCATTGATGCCGGGAACCGTAATATTACGTTTTTAAACCCATAGTGTTCTGGAGTCCCTGGGCATGAATGTGTTAAGACACCATCAGCATGTCGGGCAACAAAAAGCTTCCCCTGATATAGAGCTTCATGCCCGAAGGGTCACACCACGTCCTTAGGAACTCTGTTATAGAGATTGGTAAAGAGAGGTGCCAATACACTATTTGTGCTGCAATCCAAGGTGTACAATCCAAATCCCTGGTGTGGAGAGATCAAGAAGGGTCTTGCTACACAACAATTTGTTTGGTAGGATCATGCTCCTGACAAGACTCAAATGACTCTTTGATTATAACTATTGCTCAAAAATGACAGGACAGTCTTTTGTTACGTTTTGCCTGGGGTGAATTTCCTATGGAATCTACTTGACTTGTTGTGCTGAATACTGTCTATATACTTTTTTAGGGTATGGAGGATGATCTGAAGAAGTGGTTGGAAAAGTGAGTCAGATGAAGAAGAAGATAGCCTGAGTGAGTGTCATTTCTCCGTATGACGGAGAAGCCACAACCTGCGCGATGCAGACGGCTCCTCTCGATGACTTAGGAGACATTCTGCTCACATTAGGCCGTGTTTTTCCCATTTAGTCCCAATCCCCACTCAGGGCATTCATTTCTCAATTTAATTTTTGATTTCATATACTCCTTCATGGTGACTGGGCAGCCTATTTTATGACTCAGCATTGTTTTTTTTTTTTTTGCATTCAGTTATTTAATGATACTTACCAAAGTCAGTGTCTTGTTTATCAATCCATTTACACAATATTACACAAATTCATCTGTGTCATCCACCTCATGCCAACAAAATATGTGATATGAGTGCTGCTATCCACTGATATTGTGTGTATGGCTGCACCCAAAAGCCTTCATCTTGAAACGATTTCTTCGGGTATCACTTTGCCACACCCTCATTTCGTGATGTTTCGGCTTGAATGTGTATGTGCCCATGGCAATGGAAAAACTGCTGTTCTGAGTTAAGAGATATCTCCCGTTGTCAAGTTACTCTTTCTTCCAACTTTGGTCTTTATTCAGTAGCTACCAAATGAGGAGGAACAGTGGAGAATATCTGATTTGGTAATTCTTGGGTTTAGAATCTAATTGATGATGAAATGTGATGATTGAACATAGATAAAACAAAAAATAATAATACATGAAGTGTAGGGATGGCTTAACTCAATGGTACCAGGATAAAGTTTCAGTATTCATCTGAAGTTACCAACACACATTTACTGGCTTGAGGGGTATAGGTACTTGTAAATGGGATTATGTATATTCATGCTAAGGAAATTTTTGGTATAACATCCTTATGCACTTTCAGCATGCATTTGTTGAGTTTTTGACCGTTTGAAAACCGATGGTTTTCAAGCGGTCAGGCACTCTGTACACTGAGATGTCATGGGTTGGGTGAAATGATGAGGAGGCTACTCTTCCTCAGCACTTGAAAAGTCTTTCACACCATGTGATGCTGTGAGCAATAAATAGGTATTCATTGACTTTCATGCAAAGTTATTTTATTTGTTACAAATATGGTAGAGAAGATGAAGTTTTCCTGGGAAAAGTGGTGAGTTTGTAGACAGGTGTAACGCTCGCGGTCGCCTGGCGTGGCCATTACTCGTACGTCGCTGTACTTTAATAGCAAACTACCTTGACCGTCGCGAAACAAGAAAATTAAAATTAAAAAAAAGGATATTAGAAATTGCCCTTTTGGGATGGTTCGTATTGGTCGGACGGAATCAGTGGCCGTTAGACAATGATTCCAACAGACTGGGTTTCGCAGGATTTCGTTTATTCTATTCTAGGCTCTCATCAACGAAGTACCCGAAATGAGATTGTACAAGATCCTCCTCGGCACAACTTCGCGATCGACAGCTTTCACTTTAAAGGTGAATGAACAAAAATGAAAGAACTTCTACGAACAAGAAAATGATTCAGCTCACCCCCTCGATGCAGCACTTTCGCGAGGTCTCGTGATTTGTTCAATCACTAAACAACGAAACCGGAAGGGGTTGCTCGGGCTCCAACCCTCCGCACGCCCACAATCCGATTTCGGCCTTGCTATTTCTATACGTCCCTTCTGGCCCCAACCAGATCCACCCGGCTACAACCAGCGCTTAGGCACCTCGGCTCCAACCGAGTTGAAATAGCAAGGCTCTGATTTACCAACAGGGACCCTAGCCCTATGCCTGATGATAGCAGCAGCAGCAGCGAAGTCTGGAACCCTTCACCAACCTCTGCCTCCTCTTCACCCTCCAAGTCGAGTTTTTATACTCTTCTCCGTGGCTGTCCACGTAACGGTAAACTCAGACGCTGATTGGTCGGAAAGCCAGAAGGATGTTACCGAAAAGGGATTTGGGGAAAGTGGTCGACCTCTGATCCCTCTTGACAGTGGAATCGCGGCAAAGCCATAGATTTCACGAAGGCCGCCAGTCTGTCTTCATTTGTCGCTGTCCTAATTTTCTGTCATTCTCCTTTGTTAATGATGAAAGGACACGTGTAGAGGAGAAGTAGCAATTAATTTCAACCCCTTCGGACCGTACCCTAGCGCCTGACGGGGGGGGGGGGAGGCGATAAGTCATGGCGGGCGCTGCACAGGAAAAGTAGAAGACTTGATAGATTTTGATCTTGCACTGGTGCCCTGGGATGGCAATGGGCCAAAGGTAGTCAAGCTTCCTCTTTAGTCGGGCAGTGGCACCATTGACATTGGCTGAAGGTAGGTGACATGATAAGAAGTGGGAAGCAGTGCATTCATCATGCAGAATAGTGACTTCATCTCCCCTTCAGTGTCTAACTTTGAAGTTCCTTCTGCTTCAACCACTGGATTTCCATGACTCATGGACCACCTCCTTCTTCACCAAGCTTTGTTTTGTCATGCAGCTTTCATTGTTGTTCATCCCTGGAGTGATAGACTGGATGGTGGCTAAGAACAAGTTTGGTAAGCCAGTGTGCATGAACAATTTCAAATTCAGCATTCTCAAGAGAATGCTGAATTTGACATTTGAATGCTTCATCAGCTCTGTGTGGCAATGGCATTCTGGTTCTAGGCCAATGCAATTTCTTGAGAATTTTTTAGTGGTTCAGAGGTTTCAATATTCATCAAGTTATGGATGTGCCCAGGGAGGGCAAAAAGCCAACACATTGGATGTAAGAAAAAGACTGGTAATTGTAAAAACTATTCCTACACTACAAATATGAAGTCATCCTTGGTCTATGCTGAAGTCTATTTCATTATGGCTCTCACCCTCTTACATCTGTTGCAGACATCCATAGATTCTTGGCAATGACTGGTTGAATTTCTTTCTCTCTCTTTTCCTCATGGTAAGGTGCACAATAACATGCCAATGAATATTGTTTGGATTCAGTTTCTGTGCTTTACTGGCTATGAGGCTATATTTTTGATGCAAAATAAAAATTCACTAGAGTATGAATTGCATCATGTTTCTCCAAGAAAGGTACTATTAGTTCCGATATCAATATTTTGTGATTCTACAGGACAAGTTAACTTAATGCAGTGGTTCTCGTGTTCCCTTTTACTCCCATAGAACATCCATGTGTTCAGTGTGCCACAGCACACAGGTTGAGAACCACTGCCTTAATGGATACATAAGACAGCAATTAATGGGAAAGAAAGGGTTTATGTCAACATTTGAGAGGCTTAGAGGAATGCTAATTCTTTTACTGGAATATCAACTACTTTTCCTCCAGTTCATATATGTAACTGTAACACTAAGGCTGAAGAAAAGGAAGAGGAGTTATGCAACTGTAATGTCCATTGTCCTACCTTACAGGAGAATATTTATTGCCATGGAATGGGAGCAAACTAGCTAATTCATGTTGAAATGCAAGAATTTGACAATGAAAGGATCCCATTTAGAAAATGTGCTTTTTAATGTAATTGTCACAATTGATCAGTGACACAAATGTCACAGCTTCTTTTTTCTCTCAGAACATAGAGTTCTTCCCTGTGACCTGAGAACACACATTCATACACACTCTCTTCACTTGATGAGGAGACTTCACTTGGAAATCCATTTCACTTCTTGGCAAAGGAGATCTTCATTGCATTAGTTGGGGTGATTTTGAAGCCCTGGAGTGCATTCTTGGCAGCCGATGACTGGAGCTCGTTTTCAAACTCGACAAACGCGATGTCGTGTCTTCCTGGTACCAATCGCACCTCCTTGAATCCTGGGAACCTGAAATTGGATTGAGAAAGCACTAAAATCTTGTCTGATTGGTGGCAGGGAAAAGATGCTGCACATGTAGTGGCAATATATGTCTTCACCCCTAGGAAAGTTAAAGTCTAAGAAGGCTATCTTTTGCCTTTACCTTATCTGCTTATCTCACATCTCACACTTGCATCCTCCAAAAAAACAAAACAGGAACATCTTTTCATTCCCTCAATGGCTTAAAAAAAAAAAAGGACTTTCATGGGTGACTAATATTAATACTGGAATTGTTCTCAACATTATCATAATTCATGCTATTCAAACTCAAAGAGAAATTATGTCTTATTGGCTTGGAACTCACTGATTGAAGAGCATCTTCAACATGGTCTCATTGGTTTCTTCTGGGAGGTTTGTCAGGAAAAGAATCTGGTTTGGTGGCTGCTCCAGCACAGCTGACAGTGGAACTGCAAAAACAAGGTAAATCCATGGATAAGGCTTATTCTGCAACAACTGACTGTAATGCTCCAAATAAGGAAGCAAACCAGCTATAGAACAAATGAAGGAATTACATTAACACATTGACTGCCACTCAGAATTCTGACATGTGCCAAATGTATCACTGATGATACACATGGCAGCCAAAGTGTTAATGTTACACTATACAAACCATTTGGTCTTCCTGGGGGAATTGAACCTGGAGGTGCTGCACCCTGCTGTTGTGCTTGTTTCTGTTGTTTGGCAGCTTCCTTTGCAGCCTTCTTCCTGGCTCTTCTGGAATCTAATTCCTGGCCAGGGACAGTCTTCTTCTGGCTAGATTTTGGCCTCTCCACGAACGTTCCTTTCATCTTTGATATCACGTCAGAGTCGCTACGAGAATATTGGATCCTCTGAAACAGAAGAATGAGTACCACATTACACATAGGCCTAGACTCAAAATTACCATCAGTTTTGATTCCTGAACCTATTTCAGGCCTACCATTCATACATAGGCCACATAAAATGAGGATGTATGACATCTCAGCAGGTCAATGTATTGGTTTTGTAAAGCATTGTTAGCTGTAAACAACAGACAGTAAAAAAAACAAGCCCTATATATGTCTCATACAAGAACAAGCAAATGAGCTAACAATTTAATTTGTTTTGATGAGATTCTACTACAAGTTGTCTAGTAATTCTGGAATCATAGGAAAAACACCAATTTGTTTCTTTTTCTCATGCATTTTCTCTGATCAGGAAAATCAAGTGAAATGTCTCAAAACTGAGTGAAACACATTTGAAAGCACATGTGTACTCCATCAAAATACACAGATCATCTTGAAGAGTAAATTACCTAAGCATGTGAAAAAAAAAAATCACACCAGACATTCTTAAAAAAGCTCTGGAGGAATGGAACCACCTCACAATGTGCATAGAATAGAATGCCAGACACTGAACATAACTAAGCATGAAGTTGAGGTTTCCCTATTATTCCTGCCTTATGAAACCTCTGTACACTTCACAGATGGATTGTAGGCCCTCCACATATCACTAAAGGTTCATGATCCATTTGAATGAGATTGGTCCCATATGATGGAAAAGAAAGGACCAAAAAGGTCTATTCAGCTAATGAAGAGACTAATGAGATTCAAAGTCATTAATAATTCTTTTTTGTGCTTGGTCTATAAGCAGTCAGGAAATAGCAAAATGACTTGATTGGTCATAGTATGCCCAGATCCATACCATTGGTTTGTCGTAGAAAGGGAAACCCTGGAGAGATCGTAAGGCATTTGTTGCACTGCTAATCTCCTTGAATATCACAAATGCCTGACCCCTCATCTTCAAGGTCTTCAGGGCGATGATATCCAGTATCTGTCCAAATTGGGAGAAGATGGAATACAGGGACTTCTTCAGCTCTGAAAATGAGGGAAAAAACTTGCATTAATCAAAATACCCAAGGCAAAAGTCTAACGTTAACTCAATGAATCATCACGGGTCCTATGTCATTCTTAGCATCTAATGCGCTGGGCTAGGAGAATGCTAAGCGTTAGGCAGGCTTACCCTCTTTCGTGATCTTCTCATTGAGGTTATTGATGTATATGGTGTGGTTGGGTCTGATATCCATTTCCACTTAAAAAGGAAATCTGCTTCGTGAGAGAAGGTGGGCGAAGGAACTCCACAGATCACGTCGTCGGTAAGGAGAACAAACACGAGACACACCCTCACTTATTGGCAAATAAATCTTGATGGTATGGACACCGGCAACAGAAGCGGAGGACCGAACCACGCGCAAAGGACGCTTTCATGTACGAGCAGTGATGTCCGATTGCTCGCTACCCAACGCTTCTAACTTTTCCTTATCTTGGAAACATTTCGCTATTTCCTGCTTTGTTAACTTCGTAATTTCCTTTTGATGTCAGCGTTATACAAGTTGTTAATTTTCAGACACTGTTAACGGAAATTTTCTCGTGTGAGTCGTGATTTTGCGCCGAGGACTTTCTCCCGAACAGAACAGAATGCAGATCGTCTGCTTCGGCTCCAGCAGCACATTCCACGGGAGGCGTCCGTGGGGCACTCGCCGCTTTCGTGGCTGGTCAGGCTCGTGCCCTGCTTTTGGGCCATCTGGCCCCCATTCGTGATTCCTCCGAACGAGTGGCGCCGCTTGCATTGTATTGTTAGGCTTAAGTCGGTCCTTCCATTAGGCCTATGATGAACCTAGGTCCAGGCTAAGCCCCAACGTTCTCCCAAGTCGTCAAAACTATGTCGAGACAGACGTGCTTAGCTATTGCCAATTCAGTCTGAGCCCACCGTCCCTTGAAGGCTGCCTCGTCCAGTCTTGGCACCTTCATAGGGCGACTGCTACAAACCGAGTAGCCACTGTTGGGTATTCCTAAACCAGCCAATGTAGGCTAATGTTATGCTTAAAATAAGTCCTTTGCATTTCTACTTAGCTGAGGGTGTCAGGTGAAATAGACCCAATTGTAGTTGCCTACTGTAACAGACAAATAGTAAATAGATTTTTCATTTTTCATCATTTGGACTTGAAGCCACTCAGATTTCAGTGCACCTGAGGTATGCTGTTCCAGAAATTTTTTGAAACTACCTACATATGGAAAATTGTATTTAAATGGGACATGCACATGGTCAGCCTTCAGATTGAGTAGGGGCAAATAAGAGTTTCAGTTGAAAACTTAATAGTAAAGGGCTCTATTCCCTATGTAAGAATGATGAAAATTGCTGCATGGGTCTAGACGCTCCACTGTCTCACATGTGCCGCCATGCCTTGTCTTATCTCTGACAGGATGTGCATAAAACCTTCCTAGTTGGGAAGGTACAGGAAGTGGTTTTTACTCTGTGGGAATTATTGCTCTAGAGTGGAGATAACGACAGGCCTGCTATCTTTACGGAGTATGCGTTAATCCTCTCAAACGACCTTTTAGTACTGTCCTGTAAACTTAATGGAAGCCAGTACTTGACACCCTCAGGTGATTCATTCATCCATGTCTGATTTGTTCAAATCTGTTTAATAGTTACAACCCTGGAGGAATCCACATGTTTAGTCACCAGAAAAATATTGAAATTATTTCTCCTATTCCTATCCAATTTTCAGTTCCAGGAAACATTTCTGTCTCAGTCTTTTTCAGTTCCCAAAAAAGTCAATGCTTGCACCAAACTTTAACTTATCCGATTTTGTTACGGTCCCCTATCATAATTGGTCCGGCAGAGATCGTCTTAATCCCATAGACACCCGCGATGAAGTCGGATCGGTTTAAAGTCGGATGGATCTGGTGCGTGTCGCCCATCTGCAACCTCATATTTATATACAAATGTTCTGGTTTCATTTGCCTGGTGCACAATGACTAATGAGAGATCACATTGCCAGCAGATGTTCATTTGCACAGGGTTGGAAGGAATTTTCAGATTCTGGGCTAATTTTTTTTTTTTGCTTTGATGAGAATCGCCTGGAATAGAGTTTTTTTTCCTGCATGTGATTGTATTTACATGAAATTCCCATTACATTTAAAAAAAAAAAACTTTAATGGAAATTTTGAAGAATTCTGTGCCCATTTTTGTCCCTTCCTCGAGTTTCGCTTATCTTCCCCATTACGATCGCCTCATTTGGCCGACATCGAATATGAATCATTTCTGTCATCATTCTCGTTGAAAGAATTACACGGCTCTCTGCAGCCTGTGACTCGCATGATAATGGACTGGTGACTCGCATGATAATGGACTGGTCCCTTGTACGGCGAGGACGAGATTTGCCTGCCGTCATTTTTCTCGGTGCATTCCGGGGGGAAACTGTTTTTTCGGTCGGGAAAGGGCCGAAGAGAGTTATCAGAGGCTCCACACCTGGTATATATTATAAATAACAGTACTGGATCGTCACAGATGTATCAGATGTACCTCAGGTTGCATGACCCTTTTTTTTTAATTTAGTTCTTTCTTGAATGTAAAGTATGAGCTATGAGAGTTAAAAAGTATTGGGAAACCGTTATATTGCGCTATTCCTGTAAGGCTCTGACGTGTCTCTTCGCAAGGCTGACGGTCGCCGTTCTCTTCCCCCCAGGGACGATGGAGAATTGTTGAAACGATAAGCTTCCAGTGGGAGTCAGCTCTTCCACCACCGTTGTGCTTCTGTGCTTCTGTGCTCTGTGCTCTGTGCTCTGTGCTCTGTGCTCTGTGCTCTGTGCTCTGTGCTCTGTGTTCCCTCCCCGACGGTCATTGACGTGCGAAAATGCCGGTCTTCCACACGAAAACCATCGAGAGCATCCTCGAGCCCGTGGCTCATCAGGTGAGGGGCTTCCGGTCGAGACCGGAGATTAAAATGATTCGTCGTGATGCCGCTGACAGAGGGTTCGTGATAATAAAAAAGGGGGGCACGGAGGGAAAAGAAGGGGAGTTTCCGCCATGCTCCCACCTCCTGTGCCTCCCTCATGTAGCTTTTTCTATTTCCGTCACTCTCTCTTTCTCTCCCCTGGCTTTTTCCGGCGTTCCTTCCCGTCTATCTCGGCTCCACCGCATCTCTCCCGCTTCCCCCCACCTTGTATAAACAGATTTTTTTTTTTT